TTGTTATTCTTACACACTACATTATATCGGTCAGTGGTCTCCCATTTCACAATTATGTGTCTAAGTGGAGAACCGCGTCCAGAACCAGTTCATCTCAGATATCCGCAGCCCGGTGATCTAGAAACCCGTCCCGCCCACGGGGCGTGCGCGCGTGGACGGACGGACTGGGACGGACGCACCACTGCCAGCTGGCCAATATCACCCGGGCGAGCCGGTGGGTGATTTTCATCGGACGACCGTGACGATATCGGACCCCGCGGCCTGCCGCCGGGCCGACTCGGACGCAGCGCGGCGAAATCGGCACAGCACCGCGGCGAAATCGACTCGCCAGCCGCCGCTCCGTCAGGCAGCTGGTGCGGATAACGGCGCACCGTCTGCCGCACCGGCGCCGAAACTGACGCGCTTCTCGGCGGCGAACTGACATCTGAGCGGGCAATTTCGGCGCACTGACGAGACAGCAGCTCCGTCACCGCGGTCTGATCGTGTTCGACATCTGCAGCAGAGATCTGACGCTCTCCCAAGCAGACGTCCTTAGATTCGAAATGAGAAAATCTCGTATTCAACAAAGCCCTCGTGCACCACAATCTGTCACATAAATTGTGACGAAATAATTCCACATTTACCGCCGGCAACTCCGAACAGGAGAACGAAATAGATCACCCAACCACCTGGCAATGTCTAACCACCTGGCAGTGCCGAAATCCGTCTACTTGACCAAACCGCATGACGAAACGCACCCGACGACCGCAACTAGGCTAATGAGAGATGCACAGACAGGTGCTTGATCACCGCAGCGTGGTGGCGGTCAACCGCACCGCCCAACGCCCGGGGGCATCTAGCGAGCCGCCGGTGCCGTCGGCGCCGGAACCAGAGAAATCCGCCAGCGCTCCTGGAAAGCGGGTGTCGATGGCGGCGCGCGACGGCATTCCTCGCGAGCCTGACCGCCGCGCGGCGCGCGATGCCGGCGGCGTTTGTTGGCCAACCGCTGGCTGACAGTGCTCGGCCGCGGGTGAGGCCCTCCTGGGTGCCCTCACGTCACAATCGGACACGCCCAGTGGCCGTAGGTCAGCTCGGCCCCTACCAACACCGGTGTGGCCGTCGTTCAGCCACTCCTCCGCCCGGCCCGGCCGCCAGCCGCCGCGCCCGCCAGTCGCCGCGCCGGCCTACTCCTCACGTGTGTAATGCGGCACAGTAGGAGTGTCAGGGGCGGGACTGCGGCGCTCATGGCCTGTTTGGTAGGACAGAGGTCGGCGCTAGCAGCGGAGAGCGCGCGGCCCCTGGTCGATCCATGAGCCAGCGCTGACGAAACCCCGGTCAGACCATCTCCGGAGGGCGTACCTGGGGCCATAGAAACGAACTTACACCGAAGCTGTTCCAGACAAGTGACGAAACTTGTCCGCCGGGCGGCGAGCGAACGCGGAGTGAGGAGGCCCAGCGCGAGGAGGCCCGCAGCGGACATGCCCCACTGTGACCAAACCGGCGGGCGGAGAGGGCCCACTTGGCGTGGCGTTGTGTGTTCATGTCGCCCACGCCCCCGCGACTCGGGGGCGGCTCGCGAGTGAAAGGCTCGCGCGGGTGGCGGTCGGTGTCGGCTCCGTCGGCACCTAGACGTCGGAGCGTAGCTCGGCGGCCACGGCCGGCCGACCCAGACACCTGAATGGCCGCCACGCGCCGGTGTTGTAACGGAGCGGGCGCAGCTCGTGGCCGCGGCCGGCCCGCCCGGCTGGGGGCCGCCATGAGTATGCTGCGCGTGCGCGGCACTGCCGCCGGCCACGTCCGCCGGTTCCCCACACTTTCTACAGCTCGGCGCGGCGCGGCGCGGCGCGGCCCTGCCCGCTGCCGCCGCCGTCGAAGGGCCCACTTTCACTTTTCCCGGATGCGCGCCTGGTGTCGGTGACGGTGCCGCGAATAGTGAGCTCCCATGTCTCGACTCGCGCCCGTGAATCGAAAGGGGCTCCCAAATTGACGTTTCGTCGCACCACTGACCGTCGCCGGCGACAAGAAATCTGACCAGAAATAGATGTGGTTGAAGCACTGCACCTTTCGTGACCAGTCTTTCAGACAGGGTAATCTTCGTTCTGTCTCTGCCATGGCAGTTCCGTCATCGCCCAAGTGCTTGTCAGAAATCGATCAGGCCTTTCATCCAAACCCCACCGGCGGGGTCGTCAGAGCTCGCGGTCGTAGGTCGGAGGTCGCGCCCCGGCCGCTCGGTCATATCCTTCAATTTCCGGGACGGGATGGCTCTACGCCACCCGACGTCACCGGGCAGCGGGCGGGGAGAGCCGACACGAAAGTGTGTCACAGATGTCGAGACGAGCGCGCCAAGTTGTCTAGCGAGTGGGCGCACACGACCATTCTCATACAAAGCAGCAGATCGCGACAAAGCAACTCGATGATGGCGTACTACGGGCGACCCGAGCTTGGACAGCTACAGGACAATGCCGTAGAGACCACCAGCAGACGACAGAACGCGCTACCCTGACTTTAGCCCGACCCACGCGCCGCAGGGAGGGCCGAGCGAGAAGACATGACCTCACAACACGTCCTACACGGTTTTGGAGATCTGTCCCTCTCCAGGCTGTGGGCGGATGATGTGTCTAACATACGAAGGCGTGAATGGCGACCGGTGTCGCAGATTTCTTTATTTATTTTTATGTAAATGTGAAAGCTGGTCGGGAGGAAGAGAATCGCAGCCGCTCGGCCAGCCATGAGAAATTGGCCTTAATCGGCGAGCCGACGGCCGGCCAAGCGTAAAAGGTGTCAAAACCACTCTTAGACTGAATTGAAACGCGCAACTGCCAATTGCGGCTGAATCAAAGACCTATTGTACTATCACGCTCCGTGGTGTAAGTGATCACATTTTTCTACATTGAGTAAAACGGCAGGCAGCGATCAGTGACGGAATGGAAAGTGCGAAACAATACTGGAACAAGAAAAACAGTGTGTGGGGAAACTCTTCCATCCAAAGAGCTACAAACAATGACAGAAATGAGGCATGTCCATTGTCCACTAACACCATTACAACAAGATAATCGTATTGATTTCCAAATTACGACATAGCAAGCCAAAAACAATTCCATTTATTCATTTACGAATTGAATATTGTCCAGAAAATCGGCTTTCAGGTCAGCCGGCCTCACGACGTGGTGTTAGCGCCTCGCTTTGTGCTGCAGTCTCCGGAGACTGCATGTCACCACAGCAGCGTATCTTAGGAGACTGCAGCAGCGCACAGCACAGTAACTCCGCTTCGACCGGAGGGTGAAGGGAGGGAAACGACTCTGCTCGAATCGGAATACGCATGACACTGCCACTGGAATGACTTAGCACGGCTAAATGGGTTTAACCCTCGCCCATGTAGGGGGGGGGGGTGCACCCCCCCCCCCTGAGGTTTTTCTTAGCTACACGCCGAACCGTTTCAGATAGCCTGCTCAAATTTTCAGTACCCTATGGGGCATCCTTTGCGCAACTTTTGGTATTTTTTTGTCAAGGTCATGTCAGGTCACGGAGTTATGACGTCATAAAGGGAACAACCTCCGGCCAGATTTACGCTAAATTGGAGATTGCTTCACATTGGTATAAATGCCGACTGACCTGACACACTGATGGATTGTTTTAGAATCACAACTGGCTGATTTGACATTGGCACAATGTCCGTTGACATTTTGGAGGTTACTAAAGGTCAAGGTAAGGTCAGTGACCTCGGTTGACCTGTAATGACTTCTTGCACTTGTATGCCTTTTCGGGGTATTTTGATGCCCTGAATTCGAATTTGCTATCCATTTCAGGCATCATCGGTTGTTTCTTGTAGTTCATTTTGGGTCAGGGTCAGGTCAGTGACGTCACACGCCTGACGTGACCCAATGCACAAATGACCTTGCAGACTTCCGATGCTCCCAACGCATCATTTTTAGAGTTATGACATCGAAATACACACCAAACGATAGAGAATTGATCAAGGATCACGATAGTGAAGGTTTCAAGTCGATATCTCTTACCGTTTTGCCGCAATCGGCGCGGAAATCTGAAAAAGTTAGATTTTTCCGAAAATTTGACCTTTGACCGGTCATAAGTAGGTCAAATGTTGACCTAGGACCAAAAAATATACCACCAATCGCGAGATCTCGTTGAGAGCAATCCGTTGGTCTTTTCCGCTAAGCTCTACGACGCTCCGTTTTCAAACGCCAGGGGGGTCGCACCAACCCCCCCCCCCCCCTGCATGGGCGAAGGTGGCAAAACACCGTTTACGGGCGAGGGTTAAAATGTCGTTGACTAATGAAGAAGCAATAATTACGACTGAAATCCTAAACAAGGAAAATATCACCTCATGGATCTTAAATCTAGGTGCGTAGTAAGAAAATGGCCTACATTTGGCGCGTCCGGCCGGCCTAACAAACACATCAATCAATGTTCGAGGGTAGGCAGAGACACCCGCACCTCTCAGATCAGATCACCTGCGAGGGAGCGACGTAAACAGACGCTGTTCCGACCCTGGCGCCGGGTGAGAGGACAATGCGCCCTCCGCGCGGCGCCCCTGCCGTGACCTTCGCTCACCCGCGCGGCTTCCATTCATCAGTGACACATCCATGGCTCCAACAAACATGGACATGGCGGATTTTGTCCCAACACTATCCTTTTCACATTTGCTTGATCAGCAAACATCGCCAGCGACCATCCTTTTTGAACGCCTTTCTTCAGAGTTTTGACAATATAGAGTTTTGACAATATAAAGCGCAGATACAGTGGCCGATAGCTTTGGTTCGATCCAACATGCAGTTTTAAGAAATAATGAAGTTATTTGTGCAATAATGCTTAGAAAACTTCGTAACTTAAAAATTCGGTAACTTAAAAAAATGCGTAACTTTAAAAATTCGGTCTGTTGATTACTAGATCCAGTATTTTCCAGTGTTTTCCCTCATTCCCCCTCACCCGGTTGGAATACTTAACCCTCTTCTGTCCCCAGTGTTTGCACCCATTCCCTGTAGCCCGTTTGGAACACTCACCCTCTTCTGTCCCCAGTGTTTGTTGACGCTGGCCTTGCCGCGGCGCGTGTCGGATGCGTCGATGACGTCGTCGTGCACCAGTGACGCCGTGTGGATCATTTCTGTGATCATGGCCACCCGCCGCTGAGAGGGCAGCAGGAACCTGCACAGGGAAATGACAGACAATGTGTCAGACAACAGTCAGACATTTCAGACAGACATTCAGCAGACATTAAACACGTGTCAAAAGTCAGCAAGACACTGAGATGTTCAGTTCAGACACTTAATTCAGACACTCGGTCGGACGCGACTCACTCAGTCAGACAGCAGTGAGACTAAATGTGACATTCATTCATTCATTCATTTATTCATTCATTTATTCATTCATTCATTCAAGTGGATAATCGGCAGCGGTAAGGGATAGCGGATAAGAGAACAGGGAAAGGGTCATTACGCATGGACACACATCACGCAGAGCCATGGCGGGGAATCCCAGCGTTACAAGCTGGCCACAGAAAGTCCGCCACGACAGAAACAGCCAACGCAAAAAAAAAACACGCATACACAGCGACAGCTGGTAAGGGAAGGCGAGACGGGCGGGCCAGTGGGGGCCAGCCGGGGATTGGCCCAGCGGAGATTGGGCCAGCAGAGATTGGGCCAGCGGGGATTGGGACAGCCGGGAAACAGGTCGACCGTGTGTGTGGGCGGAAATTCCTTCTGCGGCCGCCGGCGGGCGGTCAGGCGGGGGAGAAATCAGCATAGAGCGGCCACCAATCGGCCGCCGCCGTCGGCGTGACGGATGGTGTGGCGGCTAGTGGTGGAACGCCGGAGAAGGGGCCAGAAGGAACCAGAAGGTACTGACAAGTGCCGCCGCCAGACAGACAAACAGACAGACAGACGGACGGACAAACGCATGGACGTATGGACGTATGAACGGATGGACGGAACAGATGGACGGAAGAATGGACAGAGGGAGATGAAACATTAAAAATATTGCAGTAAGAAAAGTCAGAAACCAGAAAAGAAATGGGTTCTGACCACACTTTTCGAGGAGGATTACATCAAAGGGTCATGCAAAAGAAAATCAACAGTACACTACTATAAGAAAGTTTCAATAATCGGCAAAAAGCTCATGTGCTGCGTATCGAGGGCAGAGGGGAAGGATATCAGGGGAGAGGGAGGGAGAGTCGGGCAGATCCGGCCGGAGCCGCTGCTTTCCCAAGTGGCCGGCGCACCAGCCGACCCGGCTCTCCCGCGGGGTCCTCTTGCGCAACGGCGCCGGCGACGCACCTCGGGAGGCCCTCATGAATAGTTATCGGTGTACGCCGGCGCCCCGCGGCGGCCGCCGGCGGCCTCCGCAAAGTGGCGGCCGGCTGACCGGATCTCCTGCGCCCGGCGCTCTCCGCAGTCCTCCCCCCACCCACCGCGACACGGCCTTGACCGAGCGCCCCGGGCGGCGGCCGCCCCCACAGCGGCCCCGTCGGCCGCCGCAGCCCGCGCAGCTCACCCGTCCCTTTTTGCCCGCCAAGCTGACGCGTGGCTCAGCGGCCGGAGGTGGTAAAAAGAGCCGTGTCGGTGTGAATGGGCACTCGAGCGACGCACGGCTGCGCAGGCTCCGCGGGCGGCCGCATTGTGCCGTATTGTGCCGCACTGTGCCGCCTGGGTCTCGATATGGCACCGTGCTTGACCGACCTGGCCGCACAATGGCTAGCGGACGTGCCCAGCGAAACAAGTCACCGTGTCCACGCGTACTACGTCCTGAGTGAGCGCAGGTCCCTCGCACAGGAGGCGCCGTAAATTGTAGAATAAGGTGACCGATAGACGATCTCGTAAGCTGGATGCGTTTCATACCGTGACTTTGAAAACTCCAATACTTGATTTAAAAAAATTCGTTAGCTATTAACAATACTACGCACTAGTTAAAAAGAAGGCAACTGAAATTTCCATCAAATATATACAAATGCCACAATCTTGTGTCAGTGTAACGAATATCGACGTCACGCTTCAATTCTCGGCACTTCTCGTCACAAAAAGCGACGGAAAACATACCACGGCGGCCGCGGCGGCGGCGGCGGCGGCGGCGGGTGCCGTTCCGGCCGAAGATCCAACTAACACCTCCCGCCGGCCAGCCGCGTCCACTGCCCCCGGCAGCCCGCCGTGCCGGGCTCGGCAGCAAGTAGAACGTGACAGGCCGCCGCCACCGGGTCGGCGACGGCACCGGCTGTGGTGTACGAGTACAACTGGCTAGCCCATCAGCCGTGTCAACCCAGCGCTACCGCAGCCGCTGCTCGGCTGCCGCTGCCGCTGCCGCTGCCGGTCCCAGCAGCATGGCTCATTGGCGCAGCCATCATACCCGTTCGTCAATGAGGCGACATGCGTGGGTGTCTGACAGCGCGCCGCTGCCCCAGTCTCCGCCACTTTCCCCCAAATAATTGAGTAAGTCGCCGGGTGGCGCAGTCTGTGGTACGGTCAGTCGACCCAGACTGCGCCAGAAGGGCAGCGTTGCCTCATACTAACTTCTTGGACAAACATTAGGTAAGAAAGGCATCCGGTTTGCGGCCGCAGGTTTCTACAAGCTCCGAGAAATGGTTCTCTTGCGGAGAGCAGCGGTCAGGTCACGGCAATCGGGAGCATATGTTATTCAGAAGGCTGTGGCCCGTAATGAGCACCGATGTCACAACAGTCTGCGATTAGATCCGAATACTAAGAACCAGACTTCAGAGAATGGTTCCGGGTGTGAGGTTATAATTAACAATCTTATTAAGCCGAATGAAGTGAGAAACGGCCTTTTCTCAAATTGGGCCATTTATCTAGCAGACTTATGTAAAGAGAACTTGGAGTCTCGGTAGGATGGCAAGTCGCATCTGATCCCCAACACAGCTATCAAAACAGACTCATCAAATCCCACGTGCCAAAGGCACCGATCATCCGCCTTCAAGACGCGCCACAGCCTGCTCATCACGCACGACTGAAGCACCATCATCGCACGCGTAACAGCAGACATCACGTCACGCGCACAACAGACGTGCACATTCAAGGCCGCCGTCACGACTCACGAGCGGCACAACACGAACTTAGACGTCGGCGCGTCACGATCTTGTGCGGATCATCTGTAATCTTCCGTATGCCTTCTACGAGAGAAAACGCGTGTGGTGTACGCGCGCCGATACCCGACAATGTGGGGGGAATGGGCGACAGGTGGTGATTTGAGGACATTGCTTTGCAGCCGCTGATTCACGCACTAAAAGACCAAATAATGGATCTTCGTCTTACCCTTTGATTCAAATTGGTGAGCGCTGGTGCTGGCGACGTCAAAAACTCATCCGAGTTGGAGTGAAATAATTATATTTACCTTCTTTGAATGTCACCAGACGAGGAACTCTAGCATTGACCACTTATCAGGATGAGTGTCTGAGTTGGCCTACCTTACGCGAGGAGGAATGCAAGAGTTGACTCACCCGTGAGGATGAGTGTGAGTTAACTCACCTCCTGTGAGGATGGGTGTGTGAATTAACTCACCCGTAAGGATGGGTTTCCGAGTTAACTCACCTTCTGTGAGGATGGGTGTGTGAATTAACTCACCCGTAAGGATGGGTTTCCGAATGAACTCACCTTCTGTGAGGATGGGTGTGTGAATTAACTCACCCGTAAGTATGGGTTTCCGAATGAACTCACCTTCTGTGAGGATGGGTGTGTGAATTAACTCACCCGTAAGTATGGGTTTCCGAATGAACTCACCTTCTGTGAGGATGGGTGTGTGAATTAACTCACCCGTAAGTATGGGTTTCCGAATGAACTCACCTTCTGTGAGGATGGGTGTGTGAGTTGATGGCCCGCGCTGTCAGGCACGTGATGACCGGCCGCACCGCCTTGCCCTGGCCGTCAAAGTAATAGCTGGCTATGTCCTTGAGCAGCTGGTTGTCTGTTGTGGAGAGCTCCTGAAACACGGTTCCATTCAGTGAAATAACGCAGAGAGTCGCCATCCCAGAGAAGACGCCTGTCGCAGATGTATTAGCTTACGTGTTGTATCAGCATTTATCATATTAGCATTGTATCGAAAATCGATTCTAACGCACACTGCAAACCCGATGGTAAGCAATTATAGAGACAAAGTCACTCGATCAAAGCCAGAAACAATGTAGTTTATTTTCACAGAACAAGTAAAGCAAAACAACGGATCAGAAATTAGTAGCAAATTGCCAAATTTATTCGTTATCTCATGTCCTAATTCATCATCATTATCTTCCAGAATGTCACCACACACCCCTACCACAACACCAGTAACGCACACACTTCAATCGTACCCGCCCGTACCACTCTCGCCGCCCTCGGCCGGACACCACCGCCGCGCGCCGCGCGCGCCGTGTCGCCGACCGGCGGGGACTCCCCGAGCCAGTCACAGTCCGGTTCTGTCCCGTGTCACCGCAATCCGCAGTGGGGTAGGTCTGTCACCAGGGCCAAGGCCGAGCACCCGTCCTGCAGCTCGCATTCCGCAAATGTTGCACAGTGCCATCTGCAGACAGCCTGTCGCATTTCCCTTGCAAATCGGCGGCTCAGTCGGCTGAAGGGGCCTCCCCGGCTGCTCACGCGCACACGGTACCCGGCCGTAACTCACACGCTTAGGAGGCGTAGGTTGAGCCGGGCCTGGGCGGTAGACGAACATTAGGCAGCAATCTGCCACGCATTTCAACGCACTGTCGCGTACTGTGATGTAATATGCTTAGCAGTGAATGCAATTACGAGTATACCTACTGCAAGTGCATTCCGGTGGGTATGATCGGCACACATACACGTATAAAGACTGTAGATACTGGAATAAAGTTAGTGAATGGCAACGATGAAAATGTCCAATATCAGCAAATGGATGTATCAGGGTTGGATACAACATTCTTACGCTATCAAGCAAAATTCAATTTAAGTGAAACTAACCTCTCATGACGCCAAACAAAGCACATTTAGCACTGTAGCACAGCGCCATGCAAGCTCCTCTCATGCACTGCATTGACACAGGAAACAAACAACGCACTGCCATAGATAACATGAATAAGCATACCTCTGCTCCAGTCTATCAGTTTGCACTTAACCAAGCCCAATTAGCACCACACATAAGCCAGACTTTGCATCACAAATACTCTGAAGGCTCGATAGACGCATGCAACTGCGTATCGACCTTCCAGTGGCAGCGTCTGCAGCAACGGCACGGGCTCGCCGAAAGTGGCACACATCTGCACCCTGAGTGGCAAGCCGCGCGCGTCAAACGGCGACGCTGCATTCCAAGCACGCGAACATCCATCCCCACTGGATTCCAGGCAGGTGCATTCACTCGGAGAAACTCCGCCGGACGGCCGCCATCTGAGCTCAGTGATGAGACAGATGTCTGAGGCCGCTCCCACGTCGACAGGCTGTGACTGTGAATGTGCCGGAATACCTCTCGCTGGGTTCCCGTGCGGTGGTAGTCGCCGGTCGGTTGGTTCCACTGGGATGGGTGTCGGGACGTCGACCGCTTGCAACTGGCGCGAGCAGCCGCGCGCTGATCATCAGGGTGGAGCTCTGTCGTCTCAAAGGAAGATAGTATCAAAGTCCAGTCTATCCAGTCCAGCAGTCTATAGTCTCTGTAGAGCCAGGGTAGCCTGTCCGGTTCTGGACCTGCCCGTCCTGTCAGGCGGGCAGCTCACCGGGGCACGGACGCGGTACCGGCGCCGGGCCGGTCCGTCGCGGTGGTCGAACAGACCGTTACCGACGGGTCACGGTTCGGGAGGCTGCACCGGCGCCGCCGACCGGCCGGCGAGGCCCGACTGGCGCGCGTCACGGTGCCGGGGAGAGGCCGACAGAAGGGTACCGGCACGGACCGCGCCGCTAGTCGGGTGTGCCTGCCGGTCGGCTGTTACTGGCCGCCGGGCTACCCTGGTTCCGACTTCCCCCCCCCCCCCCTGATCGACAATCACTGTCGCTACCGCTAAAGTTACCACCGTCGCCGAAGGACCACCATTCGTTCCGGTTGCCCTCCCTCCTTCATCGTTCACTACCGATGTCTTGATTCCATCATTTGTGATCGGTTCAGTCTCGGGTTTCGAGCACTGCCTTCTCCATTCTATAGCACTAGACGGGATACAGACGTTTGATAGCAGCCAGATCCTGTCACGGCACGCATCACTCGGCACTGGCACTCATAAACCCCGAAAAAGAAAGTCGGCACCGGCGCCCATCTCGCATTCACTAGGCGTCACGAATTGTCTTTTTGGCGGCGCTTCCGTGTCACATTGATATGCAGTGTTGACACGCTGACACGGCTACACAAGAGCTCCGCCAAAGAACGCGAGACGCAGCACAACAAAAAGAGTCATCAGCACGCAACAAGCAGCTAAATCCGATTATTTGCTGCACCCCCAGCGAGTAATGTCCATCAAGCGTCAAGCCCGATTCACCCACATGAAAAACACAAAAGACCAGGAAACACGACCACTAAGCCTAAACATAAAAAGTCATAATCTCGGGATCAGAATGGGTCAGAAAGGCCCAGGGTTTTCTGACAGCGCATGACTACCATCACATCACACGTTGTGCTACATCACATTACTCCACATCATAAAACGCACTTCCATCAGCTGTTGGATCCCAGTCACCCCACAGTCAGCTCAGTACCAACCGTTTAACTTTAACCAAAGACCTCTGCAACAGTTGCAACTGTTGGTTTCCCACCCAGTCAGAAAGCTCCAGCTATTAACTCCAGCCGTCCCAGTTAGCAGCTACCCCAAACGGCTCCACTGGAGTCCAGCAAGCACTAAGACGCAGTAGGAACGCCATACAGTAGCTGCTCGGTGCATAGTTCCCACAGTGCACCGGTCCGTTCAGCCATTCGGGGTTCCGCCAGCATGGCCAGGACAGTAGCTAACAGTAGCACTGTCCCGCCGCCGCGCTTCGATGCTTATGGACAACGGCAGGTCTGTAGCATTTTATCCGACTACGCTACGACGGGGCTCAATCACATGGTGACAGATGCTGCTACACCATAACTGCTCCAAAATATTATTCAAATTGAACTGGTTCAGGGGAAACCTAACGAGAGCCTAGAATGTAACATTTCCACTGCTTATCCATATCAAAGTAAGCTGACATATTGATAAAGGGTCAGCTCATTCACAAATACTTTTACATCGTTTACCTATAATTCTGCTAAATCAGCATCCATGACACGCCGTTCCCTCTCCATTCGTCGTGACCCCTTCCCCCTTAGTCACCAACCCTCCCCGCCCATCGCTACTCACTTGTACTATGTCGGTGAACATTTGTTTGATGTCGTCGTCGGTGGTTTTGCCGGTGTCGGGCTCGTCGCGCGTCTCTGCGCCGGGCTGCTGGACGGATCGCGCCGGCGATGAGGTGGAGAGCGCGCGCCGGGCCGTGTCACACCGGCGAGTCCCGCCAGGCGGCTGCTGTCCGGCCAGAGGTCACAAAAGGTCACAGAGAGGTCACACAGGGTCACAGAGAGGTCACACACGGTACGCAAAAGGGTGATAGGGGTCATACGCGGGGTTTAGTGATTGTGCGTGATAATCACTAGCCCCGGGATGATAAGGATGATAATGATACGGCAACTAAAGGTCGATTGCCCTTGCAAGAACTAGGGTAGTTTAAAAATCACTAAGCACAACGACGATAACAAGTCTCCGATTCTCATGGTCTGTAAATGGAAGCAATTTGAATCATTAAACCCGCACACTTCCATCTGTTTATTCGTTCTCTCATTTACCCCGTCGATTATTTATCCGGCCACTAGCGGAACCAATGAGAACGACGGGACAAAGCGTCGGCTTCCGTGCCGTCTCTCATCCACGGTCCACTGCCGAGTCAGTGCAGGACCCCGCTCACCCCTTTCACCCCTCCTCAGCCGGCGGGTCACGGAAGCCCACCGGCCGGCCCACCGAGCCGTCACAGAATTTGTCACCGTTCCTGCCGAGAGCTATTCAAATGCAGCGACACGCCTGTCTCGGCAGCCACGACTGCATAACATCCAACAAAGCCGACACGACGTCGGCCTGCCTGCATGACCCATACCGCACACACGGCTCACGGCACTGCCAGACAGCCGCCCAGCGGGAAAGTGTCAGCTCGGTCACACTCTGCCACCGGCGGGTGTGCAGTGTCACAGCCGAGACACAGCGTCACGGAACGTTACGCGGTGACTGTGCGTCTAACGAGAGGTGATTATCCAGGCCGCCTGCCGAGCTAACACGCCAGGGGCGCTCGCTGTGAGGTGCGTAAATCCTCGTGGGATTGTCGTGCGGGGTTTCCGAGGATTCAAGGCTGCCTGCGTGAGCCAAACAGGAGCATATTTCGTGATACGATGTAAAGGCGTGGGTTGCGCATTGTGCGTAGCGTGTTATGTCGAAGTAGTTTCGAAGAAGAGCTCAATAACCGTATTTCACAAACTGCGTCGAATCTACCACTTCACATCTGCTTCGAGGCGTCCTTTAAATTGAACTCAAGGAAGCAACATCAAGGTCCCATTCACTATCTGAATGTGAATGCGCAACGACCCTCACATTCACAAGGAACAAGTCGTTTCGTTTCGTTACTCAAAATCTTTTCTCAAAAGTAAGTATGGAAGCAAGCCCCTCTTTTCTGTCTTCTCTCATGTCCATTCACCGCCCAGCTCTCTCTCCCCTTTCGCGTCCTCCCACTCCTGCGCTCTGGAGGTCTCTCGCGGGCTCTGCGGCGGGACAATCCTGGCCCAGCTGGAGGCACCTGGCGCCGGTCCGCTAAGCTGCGGAACGGTCCCACGCGACGGACGCCTCGCGCCCAAAACTAGCTAGCCACTCAGACCACCGGAACGCACCATATCAGAAGTAACTGGAAAACATCGGAGCGCACCGGAGTCATCTGGAACCCTCCTGAGTGAGAGGGAGCTTTATGGAGAGGTCGGCTCATCGACAGTGCTACCCAGCATTACACCAGAAGGCCGCTGGGACGACAGGACGTGGTCGACACGCAAATTCCACCAGGGTGTAATGGGAGAAAATCAGAGGGACGGTTAATGGGCGTTGGGCAATATAGGCCAATGATTGTCATAGGGAAATAATCAGAAAGAAAGAGGATAGCTTCCTTATCGGGAGACATGGATGGCGCTCCACTTGGTCAAGGTGTGAGATCATAGTCATAAGAGGTAATCTGTCATTCTATCAGCACTCGCCACACGTTTCAAATTGCTTCGACTACAGGTTACAATGATAGCCTAGTAGGTTCTGTTTCGTGGTAAATATGCTTCTGCTTTTTGGTAGAGTGTTATATGAAAGCCAACTAAAACCTTATTCGAGATTCACGGTAGCGCTTCGGCCCACCTACGGCGCAGCCCGCACGTTGATGCGGATACGGCTCTAATAGGGGGCTAAACGGTGACGCCGCCGAGCGGCGTCGGGTGCGGTGTGCCGTGTGTGTCGAGCATACAGCGGCCACCGAGCGACGGCACGGAGCCATCGTTCGAGACGGGCAGCCGACGGGAACCGACGGACACGGCAGACACGCACCGGGCCTGTTTAAATAGCCCCAAGTCCGGATCGCCCGTCCGGTGAATGGGCAGTAGCTTTCGAAATCGCTTGGACGGCGCTAAGTAATGCAAAGAATGAACGACGAATGTTCGAGGTTGGTATGTGTATACAAGATGGAAGCAACATGGCATTGCAAGCAACCATGCCAAAGGGATTGTCGAATAATTTGACACATTGGTCTGCAAACAAAGCATGGGCAAAAATGGTAACTTACTCCTACAGCCTACAGTGAACTCCTACAGTGAACCATGTCCTACAGCCGCAGTCAGAAGAGTAAATACTATTATAATCATAAAGTTCACATATGCACAGCTCCAAAGTGCGTACAATACAAAAATCAGCACGCCGAGTTAATGCTTATCTACAAAAGAGCAAAACAGATTTCCAATAAATAAGAAACAGGTTCTGTCCACTATTGCTGCACTGCTTTCACAATGCAACGTGCACGAACCATTGTTTCGATTTAAATCCAGCCAGGTAGAACCAGTTTCTATGATAAGCAGAGTAGAGCGCGCCCCCCATTGGACGCGACGTCACCCGAATGGCGGACGGAGGCCGGAAAACCGGCCTGTATAACCAGTCAGGCCAAATGCGGCAAAAAGCTCTGCACCAATCGGCCGGCACCGACGAAGTATACGGAGCGCCGTTGGTCGGCGGCGGCCGGAACCCCTCCCGCTGTCAGTCACAGGTCACACGGACCGGAACGATGGCGGACCGGCCGTGGACCGGTGGTGGACCGATGGTGAACCGTCACCGGACCGATGGCAGTCCGATGGTGGACCATCACCTGTATGTGACGGTTGTTTGCGCCAACGACCCGAGGGTACGGAGCGGTAACACGGATTGTTTACTTGTGTAGTGGCCGAACAGATAAGCATATGGTGAGGTAGTCATGACATGTACAAATCATACGACTACCTTGCTCCGGCTTTTTGCATAAGTCGAATGCACAAACCTCGAATATTCTGATTACCTGTTAAAAACTCTAGTTGTCTAGACCAGCCCACATTGTCTAAAAGTAGCATGCATTGCTGAATGCTGATAAGTGTCTAATTGTCTTAATGAGAGTTGCTGACTGTTGTTTCCAAGTGAATCATCCAACGCTAAATACTGTAGCGGGGCTGAAACACAAGATTGGCGTGCATCACATGGTTTGTCATAGTACCGGTAACACACGGTGAGATACTCGACCTAATTGTTTCAATTGGCCACGTGACAGTTCCGCGAGCCCTCGCAGATCTGTCTGCTGTGTCCTATCAGGGCCAAGGTCCGATAGCGCGCTCAAACAGTCGCGCTCAATATCTGGACCAAAGTTCAACAGGTCGGGTTCGCGGCTAGACTGACCATGCCCATTGGACATCAATCAGAGAAGCACATGGCGTTCGGGTGCACCCACTTCGGCCGAGCAAACCGATCGCGGCAAACTCGGGGTGGATAGCTCACAAGTAGGACGCAATAGTACGTACTGACAGAGGTTGGGAAACAAACTGAAAAAGTCACCGCGGCTTCCTGGCCTGTTACGACCTTTCGAAAGAAAATTATTCAGTCTACAAAGTTCATCACGGACTTGAGATGTCTATCTCGGCCCAGTCTTTGAGGTGTCCGACGAACACGCCGGCGCTTCAGCTATCTCTTTGGGCTATCTCTGGGGCTGGACGGGTCCGGTGCAGGGGCGGGCACGACCGGGTCAGGGCGGGGCGACCGCTGACTCAACCGGTCGGGTCGAGGAGGACAGGACGGGACGGGTCTCAAGTGGGTGTGGAACAGTGGAACACCCTCCGGCCCCCTGGTCCCTGGAATGTCGATCTCACGCGCGGTCGGTGCGGCGCAGGAGGGTCAGTTCGATGGAACAGCTAGGAAACTGTCCTGGTTGTGGCGACGTCTGACAACGATTCAGATCGCGCTCGGGAAAGCCATGGCTAACCAGTGGTTATTAATAATTCAGGAATCCCGTCTCGTTTGGTTCAAACACAGGAACCACTTTGCGGGAACCACAGAAGTTCAACTGAGGCAGTCTTACGCAGTCACATTCAGAGTGAGGGAGCTATGAGTGATGACACAAAGCTGATCAACGCAAGTAATTTGACCGTTATACAGGGTGTCCCATAAGTTCGTTCTCACATTATGTTTGCATGTGAAACAGAGTACATTGCGTTTTAATATATTTATGACCCCTCAATGTGCTCCCCATTTAATGGGCAAACACATGAATACATGCTGCGGCATGCCAACCGGCATGTTTGGCTGCATAGCAGGCTTAAAGTTAGCCCAGACTGACTTGACATGCGCCGTGAGCTCCTCGAGGCTGGAACAGCGCTACGCTTCGACGAGCCTCAATTTCAGCATAACCAACAAATTTTTATGAAATTTTGATCCAATGAGGTGCCTGGCATGTGATCTTGCCACAAACACCTGTCACAGTCTTCTTGCACCGCTTTTAAGCTTTGCTTGACCTGTGCACTGATGCACTGTCTTGCCTGAAGATGGGCCTACGACCTCCCGGATGCCATTTTCTCCTCTATAAATATGTTCATACTCCCGTTTCGAGTTCAGCTTGAGGGCTGAAACTGCTCCTAGATGTTCTTGGAAAAGCATTCTGCTTCCCAAAACTGTTTCTGGGTTGCCACTTGCAACTTGGTCAACTCCAGAACGCCTATAACCCCACAACACAGTGACCCTGGCCTTTTGCATAGGAACATAACGGGACGAAACGGAGGCCTCCTCCTTCGCCCTTATGGGGTTGTATTCGGGTTTGGACGGGTGTTTCATCTCGAACGTGGACTAGTTAGTCCTGATGACCTGGTTGATGTCATCAGCCCTCTGTTTTGTTTAGCCTCAGACATAACGAAACTCATGTTTGGCCATTTTAAGACGTTTTTGACTGT